GCTGGAGATACCAATACCCTGTTTCTGAGCAGTTTTAGAGAAACAGTGACTCAGCTGGATCTGTGCCGTCTGCTTGTGCCTGTGAAATACAGAAATACGGGTGGACTTTTCCCCAGAGACTAAGAGAAAACTGGTTCTTGTGCCAGCTTAATTTCCCTTTCACTCCTTTGGAAAGCTCAGACTGGGTCTTTAGTCCTGCTTTGCAGGACTCAGCAGTGGGGAATCACTTGCCTCACATTTGAAAGAAAAAGAAAAAATAATCATTAGTCATCCTTGTCTGTTATTGATGATATCTTATTGTAGAAGACATCATTAGTGTGAGATAAGGCTAAAAAATATTGAGTCTGAACATGGAAATGGAAATTTCTCAATTGAGAAAATTATGGCAGGAAATAAACTTCTGCCTGGCAAAGTCTCCCTGATCTGGAAGGTCGGTAGTTAAGAGATGTTGCAGGAAATGTGAGAAGATCACTTATGGCACAGGTCTTATCTGGCCTAAATAAATTTAGCTCCTGTTAGTGTTTTCACTACAAGCCTCTTTTATGGCAGCAGTGCATGTAAAGGCTGCCTCTCCTGGTTCAGCCCTTGGGACACCCCGTTGTCTTAAGCAGGACTGAGAAGTGTAAACTAGTCATCACTCTTGGGATATCCCAGGCTGCGGAGGCATACAGACGAGCAAAAGGGTAGAAACCTTCAGTAAGAAAAGCTTCCTGGAGGTGATTGAGGTCCATTAAAGTCCTGTTGGTGCAAAAACCTTTTCTACGCTCAGTACAATGTGAGGAATGAGAATAAGAAGCGATGTCCAAGCTCAGAGGAACAGCTGGTTCTTGGTTCCCTTCACTGCAGCCCTGTTCTCCTTCAAGCAGACCTTACTGCTGCTGTGTCTCCACCTTTCCAAAGCTGTTATCAAGTCTGTCCCACAACCGGACAGAAGCCCTTGGTCATCTGGGAAGGATATTGTCCTTCTTTTAAAAGAACTGCAGCACAGCCAGCTTTGAGTGCTGGGTACCGTCCCACAACCGGACAGAAGTCCTTGGTCGTCTGGGAAGGATATTGTCCTTCTTTTAAAAGAACTGCAGCACAGCCAGCTTTGAGTGCTGGGTACCTAAACCAAATGGTTGCATTAAAAGCCCTCTCGGGGCTTGCCTCGCAGCTCGGTACTGTTGTCCTCAGCTGAGGTGGCCAGAGTGTCAGAGGTGCTGGGCCTGTGCACCACGGAGTCTTTTTCATTGAAAGATGTTGGGTCCTGAGTACCTGTCTCCCTGTGCCAAGATTTCATTGCCATTATTTTAATTGGATGCCTTGGAGGCAAATTACTTCACAGGCTGATTAAATTTATGAATAATAATTATTTCATTACGATATACTGTACAATTAAGTACCTATCTTATTATATACCTTTTTCCTTTTAATCATGTCACTTAGTGTAGTATCTACAGAATTACCCACAACACTTTCATTTAGGAATGTTCAGAGGGAAGCTGAAAAATAAAGCTAGAGAATACTGTAATTTACCTGCTCCTAGAATTAAACTTATTAATTTGCAATACTTCTTGCAGGTACAGGTGTCATGCAACCCAGGTTACACTAGGTATGCTGCCAATGTGTATACTGAAGGAACTGAAGTATTGCAGTTCTTCCTTGGTTGACATCTTTTTCGTCCTAAGGAAGATGCACTTTAAGAGGACTTTAAAACGTACACTTCAGTTTGGACTTACATGGATGGAGCATCTCTGTGCTAACAGTAATTCAAGATAACACCTGATATTTTCATACAGGTCTTGACTGTTTTTTATGAAGGTGTAGAAGAGAAGAGAGCCGATGTGTCTGCCCTTGGTGGGCGAGTGCTCTTGCATCCCTAGGATGGCTGTGCATCTGCCTTGGGTAATTTGCAGGTAAGGAAGCTGCTGGGTTATAACCAGCACCTCTCCAGAAATCAGCTGCTGCTTGGCTTTGGTGATGACTTCTCTACAGATAAATCAGTGCCTTGTGCTGCTTAACTAGTGCATTTGGCTCGGTCCGTTGAAAGTCACCTCACTTCTCTGGTGCACTTTGCTGGCAAAGAGATTCCGTGGGGACCAGGCAGTGCTCCTACTGCTTCTGGTCAGTGGCATCTTCCCGTTGGAGGAAGCCTCGTGGGTCAGCCACAGAGACAAATCCTGAAGCCCTGAGAACTTAAACAGCACTGAAAAAATGCAGGTTGACCTCTCTGCTCTCTACCCAGTTGTAAAGTATCGGTGTGCACCAAAGACAGAAAGCGTGACGGACACCTCAGGAAAGTGCCACTTCATGATGACCAAGTGTGCGTCTCTCCTGAGCAGATCTGAGAATCTCCTCCTTCACACGACAGCTATTGCCTCTTCTGCCAGAGATGGAGCATATTCATCCCTCTTTTAATGTGCAGTACCACTCTGAGCTATTTAAAGCCTTTTTGTCAGAAATAAAGCCCAGGGAGAGCAAAGTACAGAGAGATACTGAGGTGCACCGAAAGGCAGACTATGGCTGGTTAGCAAGTTCTGCAGATCTGCGGGCACAAGCAGATCACTTCAACAAGCCCCTGGGAAAAACATGCGTTCAGCTCCTTCTCCACTGTTAAAAAAAAAAAAAAAGAGTGATATTAAACATATTGTAAAAGTTAAAGTTGTTGGTGGGATGACTAGCTGAAATAATAGGATTACTGATTTGGGAGGTAGTATAAAGAAATCCACATTGTTAGCCTGTTTTCAGCCAAAACACCAACACGGGAAGGAGTGCATCTTGCCCCACACTAACACATCCTTGTTTCTTAAATGCTATTCTTTATGAATCCTCACTTTCAGTCTAACATCTGTAAGTATATCAGATACTGCCCTATTTGTGACTGTGCAGATTGCAGCCTTTATGTAATGCTCAGCTGGAGAGGAGATTTCTTGAGTTTTCCAGTGAAACTGCTAGTTCTAAAAAGCACTTTTTCTTAGTTAAAGTAAGTTAAATAAGTTTTTAGTTAAAATAAGCTTGGAGCACCTTGAGGATCTTCTCAGGTGAGCTGTATCTTACAACGGTTCTGTGCATTTAAAATAGCTGCATTTTCTTTTCTTATGCATCTGGACTTATTTCAGACTTCTGTAATCCCTTTCTGGATGCTGACAAGGCAGTAATGCAATGGGGTGGGCACCCTGCAGTGGCACAGGGTGTTATCTGTGCTGCCTCGAGGTAAGAGGTTCCTCTGACAGCATTTCTGTCTTTCCTTTTCCAAGGGATTGGTGCTGGTGGTGGCCCAGACTGACAGCAACAGAGCCACAAAGGGGACACATGCGGCCATGGGGGTTTGCAGCAGTGAACAAAACCGGGCAGTTTCTCTGATCAAGGTACATTTATCTGGCAAGGACCAGCCCGACCAATGTGATGGAGCAAGTGTTAACAGCTCGTCTTCTCAAAGCTTCCTTAAGGTAAATATCAAGGGCAGGAAACATCATGTAGACAGATAGTGGAAGCAGCTGAGGTTTCCCCACGCTACAGAGCTTCACCACCGTCAAACCTCTGCTTAGGGCATGTGACGTATGCTGGCTCTCAAGGCAGGCACAGAGACCTGGTCTCAATCTGGGGTCAGCTCGGGTATCAGCACCTCATTCCTCATTAGCCCAACACCATGTCTGTCCCCACCAGCCCTGCCTGCTGGCTCCTGGTAGCCCAGGGGCTCTGTGGGGCCGTGCCTCCTCGCGAGATGCCAGCAGCATCTTCCTCAGCTCTGTTAATGCCTCTTGGCAACCTGCTGAAGCTGTGCCAGGAGAGAAGAAAATCATTCTGCTGGTGAGGCTGCCACTGCCCTCAGGGTCTGCGCTGGCTTGGGAGGAGCAGGATTGCCCTAGGATTTGTAAACAGCCCAAAAAACAGACAGCTGGGGGAAAACCAGTTTTCTGATTCAATTCATGTGATTGGAGCTAAAAGGCAGGTGTTCTGAATATAGTCGGGTGCTGTTCTGGCAGTTCCCAAATTTGCTGCTGGCCCAGGCATCACTTCCCCTGGCTGAAGGCAGCAGCTGGAGCAGGGCAGGGCCAGCAACACACCCTGTCCTTGTCCGAGCTCCTGGAAATTGCCTCTGGGTTCCCTGGCAGAAAATACCTTTACGTGAAAAGCTCTGTCACAGCCTCCCTAACTATGGCACGAGGGGAAAAAAAAAGGTATTAATGGGTGAGGTCTAAAAGTGGTGTTTTCCCTGTATAAATAGCTTTATTCTGAGTCTTTCCAGTAAAATAAATGGAGGTCAGAGACTGAGTAGCTTCTCAATGCACAGACATGGCTGGAACTTGCGTTTTGGGTTTGTTTTAGAAATGAACTCTGAAAAAGAAAAATGAAGTCAAGTGAAGTGGGAATAATAGCGGAAGACTTGGAAAGAGGATCTTTATTAAGTTATTCTGTTCTCACTTGGATAGCCTTGCTAATATTAAGGAAAGACAGTTGTAACTTGGCTGTTACTTTGTATGACTAAGAGCAGTGTTTTATACAATACAATCTGAAGCATTAAAGCAAGCCATTAGCGAACAGTTTATCTAAGACTAAGGAAAAAAAAAAGAGAAATGAAATAGGAGCATGAAATATGTCTTCTAACAAATCCTGAAACAGGTCTCACAGGCCACAGTGCAGATATTTCAAATGTGTCAAGAGCAGGCTGACATTTCTTTAAGTCAAAAGAAAAAAGAAATGGCTATCGCGGGAATCGAGCTGCAACACTCATCTCTTCATCACCCTGATGTACAGCAGAAGGCTGAGGCTTATTTACTGGAAGCTTGAACTGAAATTGGTAACCTGCGTGTACCTTATGGATACTTTGCCTCTCCCACAGGAGCGAGAACACCAAATTTCTCAACAACACCCACTGCTCTGTGCATTACTGAACTGAAAGTTAAGAGGAGTCTAAACTGGACTTCCAGCGCAGGCGTCGTGCTCCTTGCGGTGGGGATCAGCCACCAGACGGTCCATCACGCTACCGGTAACTGATGGGCAGGGTCTCCAGGGGTCCCATGGAGGGTCTCCGGACCCTGCCATGGGATGGTGTTCCCACCGTGCCCCCACAGCTGGGAACACGGCAGCCACTGCTGCGGCCGGCACAGGCACACCATGGGCATCACTGGCAGTGCATCTTGGCCAGGGTGGGTGCCAAGGCAGCTGCCATTTCCCACATCAGGTGTGCAGGTGGACCCCAAGGGCCATGGGTAGTGAATGAGTACCAGAACAGCACCACGAGAGGGGTCTACGCCATCGGGGACGTCTGCAGGAGAGCCCTCCTCACCCCAGGTACCACGGTTGTGCCCCCCACCTGTAGCCCCTCATCTCCATGCTGTGCCGTGGCTCAGGCTCCCCGTCCCTCCCCACAGTGGCAATCGGGACCAGCAGAAAGCTGGCACACAGGCTCTTCAAGGGCAAGCAGGAGTCCTGGCTGGACTACCGTGACACTCCCACCATCTCATCTTCAGGCACCATGGGCCTCACCAAAGGCAGGTGTGGGCAGGGCATAGGGGGTGGCAGCATGGGGGAAGAGGCGCAGGACATGGCAGCTCAGAGCTGCTGGTTTGATGCTTGAGGAAATTATCTGATCTCCGGCAAGCGGTCTAAGTCTTGCAAAATGAGCTTTAACTCCCTCTTTTATGGTACATCCCCTACTTGCCCTGTCGTGTCTTCTGCTGCAGATGAAGCCATGGCCATGCACAGGAGGGAAAACGTGAAGATCTACAGCACATCCTTCACCCCCTTGTACCACACCATCAGCCAGAGGAAGTTTAAGTGTGTCGTGAAGCTGGTGTGTGCTGGGAGGAGGAGAAGGTGCGTGGAGGGGACCCAGGGGGACAACTGAGCGCTGCAGGTGGCTGGCTTGGCTTCCCCATGCTGCGGCAGCTGTCCTCTTGTCTCCGCATGGTCTGCTCTGACCTGCTTAGACCAGGTCTTGGGCTGGGATCCAGTTCCCCAGCACCAAGCCCAGTGTTTAGCCTGGATTTCGCCAGTGCTGGGTCCCATCCAGCCTCTTGCTTCTTTCTCAAAGGTGGCAGAATTGCACATGCAAGTGTGGGGCTGCAAACGAACTGCTGTGGGGCTTTGCCGTGACCTTCAAGATAGGGACCACCATGGCCGACTTGAACAACACCATCACCATTCACCCCATTTCTGCCAAAGAGCTGGTGACTCTGTGCTGAGGCGGTGGGTGTGAGCAGCCCATGGGATGGCAGGTGAAGAGGTGGTGGCGTGGTCCCTTGGTGCAGTTTGGGGAAAAGCTGCGGATTGCAGGGGTCCTCCTCTGGCATCCCCAGTACCGGGGGCGTGCAGGGAGCAGCAGAGCGGGGCAGGATAGCTGGGTGCTCGGGGTACTCTTGGGTGCTCAAGCATCCCAAGTGGGCTTTGTCCTCCGCCACAGGTGCTCATGTTTTCCGGTTGTGCTGCTCCAGGCTTTGCTGTGGTGTCTCGATCCCGGCTGGCAAAATGGTGGCAGGCAGACAAATCCTGCCCAGCCTTCCTAACCCCATCAGCATCAGCGGAGCCAGCCCTGGGGTGCTGCTTTTTGGGAGGGCAGAAGTGCCTGAGAGCTAAGGGCGGGGGCAATGGGACACCCCTGCGGGCAGCCAGGTGGTGAGGGTCGCTTCCAGGTGTCAGCGAGGCTCTGTGGGCAGTGAACACCCCATGCACGGTGGCACTTGTGGTGGTGACGGGATTGGGACCGGAATGGGTTTGAGGTCTCTGGCTCCTGGCTGGAGAAAGGGAGCAAAAAGCCTGTGGAGGAGATGAGGGGAGGACACGCACAGGCAGGGGCTGAGTATCCGCAGAAGCCTCCTTTTTGGAGGGAATGGGGCAGAAAAGCAGAGGGAAGCCGCCACCTAGGTGTCCCTGTGAGACCATGTCCCCTGGGGTCCTCAGTGGGGGGAATCGAAGGGGCCAGAGGCTGGGCCAGGGCACGCCGAGAAGGTCACTGCTGGAAACCATTCGAGA